TGCTGCTTCATCGAGATTTCCACACCCGCTTGCAGGACGTAGGGGATGTGCTGTGCCACACGTTTAACGTACTGATGGGGTTTTTGGGGAGAGTTTTTTCTCTTTGATGAAACATTAGCGTAGGAATCCCTAGGATTTTTTTCAATTTCCACTCAAAAGCTGCGTTATGAAAGCTCTACGCTTGTCCTTCCTAGTTCCACATCCCTCCTGGTTCTGTACCGTCTAGGCTTCCCCTGAGCTGACTCTCGGTTAACTGAGATTTGCAACCCAAAAGGCTTCCTCTTCTGCTCACACAGCACGGTGGGTCGGCAGGGGTTTAAGCCGAAAGCTGCTCAGGAACGACGTCTGCCGAAGCGACCCTGACCTGGAGCCTGTTTGTGAGAACTCCTTCAACATCCGCTGTCTGTCTTTTTTTGGTAACGAAATTTTAAATTTTTAATTTTTTTTTTTAATAGGAACACTACAAGGTTAAAGGTTAAAAACCACCTCAGGCTGCAAATTGGCTGGGCCTGGATGGGTTGATCACTGGCTCTGGTGTCTATAAACCTGTTCTGGGTTTTACTGGTGTCTCTCTGGATGTGTTTGAGCTGATAGACCCGTTGTCCTTAAAGGGTACAGTCGTAGCCCTGGGTTTGGGTTTGTTCCCGGTTTATTCCATCCTAGTGGATGATGTGACTCAACGTTTTTCCTGTTTCTAACCTGGGTGTAGTAATGTTGTGTCATTCAAATGGTTCTCGCGGCGTCGCAGAGCAGCACCTGCCGGGCTTTCGGTGAAATACCACACGCAGGTTTCGGCGGCGGCTGCGCCCACGGCAGGTGCTCGTTCAGCCTGGCAGGGAGCTCTCGCTGCTTCCTAAATTAAGCCCTGGCTTTTTGCTGAGTCATTTAATCTCTGGTGGAAAGAGGGAGACGCCGTCCTAAGCAGGAGAGCCCCGCTGGAGTCGGTGGTATAAGGATTTCAGAGAGTGTCAAGAGCTCTTCTTAAAAGAACTTGGCGGTGACTTAAATCTGCGTTCAACTTTGCGGCCTGAATCACCGAGATCTCCGAGGAAACCCGAGAGCCTTTCAGCCCGCCACCGGATGATGCCTAACGCTGCTGCTCGCTCCCGATGAGATGCGCCGGTCTGAACGGCTCGGGAGCCAGCTCCCCCCCAGAAGCTCTTTTTGGCCTTTGGTTACGAACAGGCTGAGCGCTGGGAGGGCTGCGAAGCGAGGCGGTTACACCAGCAGGACACGGGTGAGCTCACAATCCACTAGAAAACCAAAAGTGAGTATTGGCCATGTCTAACGGGCTTTGACTTGATGAAAATAACAGCGTGTTCCAGCGTGGCAGCATTCCTTGGCTGTTGTATATTTTTAAGTAGCCGAGGTTGTTTAACTAGTGGCGGAGCCTTGAGCTCCTTGGTCCTTGTGCAAACCCAAAACACGCCCGCTGCTACCAGCGGGTAGGTGCTACTGGGGTCCTGCAAAATACCAGTTGCTGCCAGACTTCAGCGAGAGCTGAGCGCAGGGTCACGTCCTCAGATGCGATGCTGACGCCTTCCTTAAGCCTAGAGGAAACATCCCAAGACCAACATTGATGCCCTGACGTTGCTGTACGGCCAAAAGGGGGACTCCAGCCGAGCAGCTCCCTCCTCGGCAGCTGGGAGGGGGGTTTGATGGTTCAGGTTCGGCTGAGGTGGGAGGCAGCAGCACGTCAGAGTGCGCCTGCGCCTGCCTGGTGGGGCAGTTCCTCGAACTTACACCTGCGATTTCTGTTACCTTCGCGAGGTAAAGGCAAATCCTGTGAATACCCCGGTCTGGGTTTGAAAGGGTGTATCCTGGGACTGGATAAATGCTGTCATAGGAATTTCCCGATAAAATAGACAATTTTTTTATCTGAAGCTCTGCTGGAAGGCTGGCACTGGGCTTGCAAGTCTCAAAACCCCGGTGCTAAGTGTCTGCCTGCTGCCATGCGAGACTTTTTTGACTTGCCTTCCTGACTTTTAAAGACTTTTTATAGAGTTTATAATGCAATTTTATTTTTCAAGACTACAGCAGCTTATAAAATGCCTTTACCACGGTTTGAAGCACTCAGTACTTGTACTTCTAATGCGCTATGTATTTTAATAAATTTGCATACAAATAAAATATATTCTTACAGTAGGACTGGCTGACGCACACCTTGATCTCCGCACTGCGCAGCACTGAGCCTGAGCGGACCAGGAGCGTGGCTGCCGCAGGGCTCGCTCTCGCTCCTTCGTTTTCTTCTGCATTTTTTTTTTGCAGCGGGAAGATTCTCTCAAATTCCACGTCACGAGGTGGGTCGAGGAGGATTTTGGGGGCTTTCCCGATTTTTTTCTGTCAGGTGGCGAGTGCTGGTGGGCGAGGAGGCAGCTGCTGGAGCGCGGCGCAGGCGTTGCCTGGGAAGTGCCGCGGCAGCTTCTCGCCTTCCTCTTACCCCGCGCTCTGGGGTTGTACGGGGGCTGCGCGCTGAGGCTCACGGCACAGAGACGGACGCTGCTTTGCGAAAAATCTTTTTGCCGCGTTTCAGCTGAGGTGCGAGAGGGGTTTGTAACCTGTCAGACCCAGGGTGGGGTTTTGCTCACCTGTTGAAACCTTGTAAATGTTACTGCGTGGATTTTTTTAGGTTGATTTTTTTTTTTTCTTTTAGAGGGGAAATCTGGTTGAAAAATGAGTTTGTTGAGACCCGATGGGGCAGAGACTTCAGTTTCCAGGTGTCTGAGCAGCCCGCTGCGGACAGCACAGGGTGCAGATATACCACGGTGGCCTCTGACGGCCTGACCAGACCGTTGCTGGCTCAGGAGTGTCTCTTGCAGGTGAAAACAACGCCTCGCTCCCCTGGTCGCCTTCCCCAGGGATCATCCTGCCCCGCAGCTCCTCTGCCACTGCTGCAGAAAGCTGAGGCCCCGTCTCGGTGGCAGCCCCGAAGTTACCGCGCTGCCTTGCCGCCGTGTTCCCCTCTGCTCTTCCCGACGGCAGGTTGGGTCGCACACGTACCCATCGCTTCATCCAGCTACGGGCGTTCTCACTGGTCCCTGTTTAATAATGGTTTTAGCGTTAAACCATCTTTACGTCACTGGGGCACGAGCGCCCTTCGCTTCTCCAGATCAGCGCCCGGTTGAGGAGCTGCCTTTTAGGACAGGGCGAGGCTTGGGTCAATCCTGTCGCTCAGCACCTGGGGACGGCGGCAGCAGGAACCGCCTCGGGTTCGTCACGTTGCTGGGTGTGGAAACAGCAGGAGCTGGAAGTCGAAACGAGGCCCAAGAGCGCGGAGCGGAACGAGCCGCAGGCAGGGCTGGGCCTGCTCGGCTTTTCTGCCATCTGCCAGGGCGAGCTGCTCAGGGGGGGCTGGGGTCGGTTTGGGTTTTTTTCCCCCCAGGAAGAACGCCCCCAAGAGGCACTGTGAGGTGATGGATCAGTCCTAGGGCAAGTGGGGCAGATACGGGCCTGACTTTGGGAGCAAAACATACGATTTCAGTTCTTTACAGGTAGTAAAAACCAGGCATTTAAAACCAAATGCGGAACCCAAGTGTTGACGTAAAGTCTACGCGTGGAATATTAAAATGCAGCGAGGTACATAATTTGAGAAATAGCTTTTCATTTTTAAACTCAGATCTTATAATTAAGATCTATACAGACTGTATAATTTCTAAAAAATGGAATTTATTATTAACAAGCTCAAATAAACACAAAGTTATTTAAAAAAAAAAAAAGATACAAGTGAAGAGCAGCAAGAAGGGGAGTTTGTTCCACTCTATTTTTAAGCTATGCCACCCGTACAAGCGTTGAGTTCAGGCGGGGCTTTGGCTGCGATAACTTTGGGGTTTGTGGCCACGCTTTTCGTGGTGTTGTGAGTCTTATAAATCCCAATCAGTCTGTCTGCGATCTCAAACATGTTGTTTCGCAGGGAGATGATGATAAACTGGGCGTTCTTCGTTTGCTCCTGAAACAGAAGCGATTTGGGTTAGTTCCCAAGAAAGCAGAACTTCTCGGGGAGGGGGGGAGAGGGCAGGGCCTGGCACCGCCAAGGTGGAGCTGCTGCCGCCACGGAGAAATCCAGGGAGGGCTGAAGGCCAGCTGAGAGGATGGGGGGCGGGGGGAGAGAAGTCCAGCCTGTGCTTCGTGGAAGCAAAGTTTAAAACTACCGTCACAGGCAGGTGTCAAGGGCTCCCCTCGTTTGAAGTAGCTAATCACCATCTTTGGCACTTCGAGGGTGTTCCCAAAACCGATGGTTACACTTTGGATGAGGCTGAGTTTAAACTGGCAGCCAGAACTGCAGCCAGGTGAGTGGTTGTGTGACTGAACGGTGGTGACAACAGAATTAAAGGCATGGAAGAAAAAAACCCGCCACCAGGGAAGACGCAGATCAAAGCAGCCCACGGGAAACGGTGCCTGGTCATGAAATGGAAGCGTAAAACCAAGGCGCCTCGGCTGCTCCCGAGAACGAAATCATGAGCTTGGAGGCACGAACACATTCCTAAGGGGTAAGTGAGGTACCACGTTCTCAGCCGGTCCTTTTGGGGAAAGGGTCTCTCTTTTAGAGAGGAAGCAGCAGGGGTAGGGGGAAAGGTGGCACCTTGGGCAAACTCCAGCCCTCTTTAGACAGCTGTTGAAACAGGGTTTGGAGGGGAATAACTGGTAAATCCTCTCTTAGTTGCTTCATTTCAGCATCAAACTGGGCAGCTTAGAAAAAAAAAAAATAGGCAGAAAGTGCCATTCTAAGCACTTTTCTGGAAATCTGCTCAAGTCCATCGTTACCACTTTCTGATTTGATGATACTCCATCATTCAAGTTTTAGGTCTGGCCATAACAGTTGGAACTAGATGACCTTTAAGGTCCTTTCCAACCCCAACCATTCTGTAATTGTGTTACCACTTTGAGAAGAAAATATCTTAGGAAGATGACCCTGGGGCGGTTCCCCTTCAACACTTACGTAGATGTAGAACGCCACGATAGATACGTTTTTGAAGTCAAGTGCTGCGTCAATCTCATCCATGAAGTAGAGCGGCGTTGGCTTGTAATGATGAAGAGCAAACACTAGAGCCAGCGAACTGAGCGTCTTCTCTCCTCCTGACAAGTTAAAGATCTTCTTCCAGCTTTTCTTCGGAGGCCGGACGCTGAAAGGAACGAAAGAGTTTGTAACTTCCTTCTGCTCACGGTGAAAATAAATATTGTGGTGAAGAGCAGTTCTTGGAGGACACAGACACCAAGACCCTGGCTGAGCTGCTCGATGCTCTTTGTCCTCCACAGCCGAGAGGCGGCGAATTGGATTATTTCTGCTCCCCCAGGAGGAACTTGCTGGGTGCGGTAACGCTCGGGTAGTCGCTGGAGGAACTACCCGCTGAGGAACCGCTACTGAATTCTCTTCCAAAAGCGTTGTTCTCCTCCCAAGGAATGGATTTACTCTCAGGATCGTGTCTGACAGAACAACCTCCAGTTACCAACAGGACCGACACGATTCCCGAGGCAGAACGAAATGATTTGGGAATTAAGAATTTACAGAGAAATTCAACTACGAAGCTCTTTAACTGCTGTTAGTTACTCATTTCTCCAGGAGAAATGGAGCTCAGCGCTAAAAGGCGGTGGTTTCTGGCGGTGTCTTGCCAATACTTGCCAAGAGGGAGGACAGGCTTGGTTAGCTGCTGCCCCTTAAAATGGGCTTAAAGAGCAGGCTGAAAAAAGGGACACAACAATTAAGAATTACAGCACCAATATGAAGTGTTTTGACAAACCTAAACATGATTCCCTCGGAGAAAGGATCCAGACTGTCCACAAGTTCTAATTCAGCATCCCCTCCCAAAGTAAGCATCTGGTAGTTTTCCTTCAGTTTATTTGTTATGACGTTAAATCCTGCCATAAACTCGTTTAGCCTTTGTTTCCTCAGATCTTCAGAAGCTTGCCGGAAGTTGTCTCTCTCGTTGGTAATGTCATCCAGTTCAGCCACACGTTTCAAGTACAGCTCTTCCTGCAGGGAAAAAAAAAAAAACCCAAACAAACCCACCCACAAAAGTACAGTTAAAGAAACTGTCTCTTTAATTTAGATTTTAAACCATTGTTCCTACCATTTGGAAATCTGTCTTTCCCAGGATGGCTAACAGCCTTGAAACAACAGAACAAAACCAAACTCTCTCTTTTTTTTTTTTCTCCCATCTCCACCCTGCTGAGGGAAAACCTGTGTTAAAATAAACCCCAATGTGTCATCTCTCGAATCGGCAGGTATTACTGAGGAGAAAAAGCCCCTCGCGGTGCTGTGGATCTGTCTAGACTAGCTGGCGGTAATAAGCCAGCTTTCACGGGGGGAAGGGGGCTTCACCCGCCCTGGGTGGTATCACATCAAAGGCGTACGGCAGCTCCAGACACAGCTCCCGGGGCCCGCCGAGAGAGGAGAAGGGAAACCTCCACGGTTCCGGTTCAGCCCCTGGCAGCAGGGCACCACGGAGCAGGACCGCCTGCTCCTGGCGGGCCCAGAGCCGCGCCGTTCCCTCCCCCAAACACCGCGGTGCTTCCACGCGCGGGGTCTGTCCGAGCGGGCTCCCGAGG